TTATTATTATTATTATTATTATTATTATTACTATTATTATTATTATTATTATTATTATTATTATTATTATTATTATTATTATTATTATATAAATAGTAATAGTAGTAGTAGTCAAGCACAGTTCTTTATAATCATAAAAAGATGAAAAACCTGCAAATTTGAAACAAAATTACCAATTCAATTCAGTTTTGATTCATATTTGAATTTGGGATTTGATCAAGATTAAATAAAAAATATTATTAACATTATTGTTATTATTTATTTCTTGATGTTATTGTTGCTGTTTTGTCATCATCATCATCATCATCATCATTATTATTCTTATTATTATTCTTATTATTATTCCTATTATTATTATTATTATTATTATTATTATTTCTATATATTTTTTTTATTGTTGTTGTTGTTTCATTATTGTTGTTGTTGTTGTTGTCTCACAGCAAGAAGGTTGCGGGTTCGAGCCCCTGCTGAATCAGTTGGCATTTCTCCCTGTGTTGGCGTGGGTTTCCTCCAGGTGCTCCAGTTTCCCCCACAGTCCAAACACATGCGCTATAGGTGAATTGAATACACTAAATTGACCGTAGAGTATGGGTGTAAATGCAAGAATGTATGGGTGTTTCCCAGTGATGGGTTGCGACTGGAAGGGCATCCACTGCATAAAACATATGCTGGAAAAGTTGGCGGTTCATTCCGCTGTGGTGACCCATGATTAATAAAGGCATTAAGCCGAAAAGAAAAGAAATAAATTAATAAATGAAAGTTGTTGTTATTTCCATTATTATTTTTATTTATATTATTATTATTATTATTATTATTATTATTATTATTATTATTATTATATAAGTACTATTATTTTATTATTATTATTATTATTATTATTATTATTATTATATAAGTACTATATTATTATTATTATTATTATTATTATTATTATTATTATTATTATTATTATTATTATATAAGCAGTAACAGTAGTCAAGCACATTTCTTCATAGTAATAAAAAGATGAAAACCCGCAGTTCAAATGCATCTCACAACATCTAATGAACTGATATTAATATCAAACTCCTCATCCAGCCCTTTTATTCAGCCCATGTCAAAGACTAAAAGCCCGGGCCAGCGATTAATGTTGTTATTTTTTGGAGGATCAGAGAAACAAATGAGGGCATGAGCAAAAACACGCAGTTCATCTACTTCCCGCTCATTTAACTGTTCTCCGATCAGAAGCAAGTCCAGTGGTAATATGGCAAAACACAGAGTCATTTATCAAAGGCTGCGCTCAGGTCAGGTGCCCGGCGGCCCAAAAACACAAATCATTATAAGTTTAGTGCTGGATCCCTGAGGGACGAACACAGGCAACAAAAGCGGAGGTTTTCCCCCGAGAGACTCCAGTTCTGACTGAACTCCATGTTTACTTCACCGCAGAATTACTGAGGAAAACTTCATGCCCGCAGGAGAGGAAGATAAAAAAAAAAAAAAAAAACATTCTGATGGTAAAGTCTTTATAAGTATTTAATGCAAGGAATCCACAAATATTTTTCATAGCACTGAAAACACTATCATTTATGAATAGAAATGTGTACCGCTTAATGCTTTGGGTTGCTTTTTTATCTCATTATATTGTTTAATTTTTATTAATCATTCACTCATTTTTCTTTAGATTAGTTCCTTATTTATCAGGGCTCACCACAGCAGAATGAACCGCCAACTATTTCGGTGTAGCAGAGGCCAGCTAGTAAAGTGTTGTGCCATGGTGCCAAGGTCTTTAGCTGCCTTAGTAGAGCAACCGACTTCCATGTGAAAAGTCGTCGGGTTGGGTGGTGTAGGACCGGCGGGGTTACATTGGTCCCCTGATCCGGATGGTAGTGGGGTTTAGGGGCGTGAGTATAGCACTATTATTTTTATTATTATGTTATTTATTGCTAAAAAAAAAACACATTTAAATTTAAACATCTTAAAAGAGTAAAAAAAAGCCTGTTATTGAAGCTTTATTTAACATTTTCTCCTTGTTATGATCTGAAGTTATTTTGTTAGATTTGTTCTAGTTTACTTTTCATAATGACTTAACTAAACTTAGACCAATAAACCAGATTTACACAAATATCTGACTGTATAGAGTTGAAGACAAAACCATTAGTCATTCTGTGAAATTTTAATGAAGTGTTGTTTGATGGTAAAAAGGGAAAGAGTTCCAAAGCACAGTATGTCCTATTATGTTTTGATTCAGATTTATTTTTTATTTTTATTCTACATTTCCTAATAATTTAATAATAATAATAATAATATTAATAATAATAATAATAATAATAATAACGTAAATGAAAAAATAAAAATAAAAATATAAACAATTTAAATAAATAAATAAAATAATGAATAAAATAAAATAAAATGTATTATTAAATAGAATTGAAATAATAATATTAATAATAATAATAATAATAATAATAATAATAATAATAATAACTTAAATAACTTAAATAATGAGAAAAATAATTATTCAAAATAAAATAATATAAATTATTATTATTATAATAATAATTATTATTATTATTATTATTATTATTATTATCATTAATAATACTACTACTACTACTAATAACAACATTAATAATTATTTTTAATTAAAAAATAATAAAATAAATAAAATGTAATTTTACTAAATTAAATAAAAGTAATAATAAATAAAATAAAATAAAATAAATCATGAATAAAATAAAATAAAATAAAATAAAATAAAATAAAATAAAATAAAATAAAATAAAATAAAATAAAATAAAATAAAATAAAATACTGGTTGAGCTGATACTGGTAACAAGCCACTGTTGTTCAATGACAAAGTCTTGATCAGGAAGTTTTTTTTTTCTTCTAATATTTTTAGCAGATAGCGTTGTAAAAAATGATTTGTTGTATTCTCCCATTCACTGCACTTTAAGTGCGACTTCACTGCTGAGAAACCTGGACATGTGAGAAGGGTCCATTGCTAATAATGTTGCCCTCAACTGTATATTAATATTCTCATTTTGCCCTCAACTGTATATTATTATTCTTACCGGTTTGTCTGTCGACAGTGAAGAATCGTTCCCCTTCCAAAACACTGTAAACTATCCGAGCGCTGCTTCCATAAGTGGGATCATCTGCATCTGACGCCATAACCTTCATCACTGACGTACCTGCAGAAAACACACAACACACACACACACACACACACATCAGATCCAGTGTTTTCCGGCAGTAAACACACATCACCTTTACATTAGATCCAGTGTTTTACTGTAGTAAACACACATCACTTTTACATCAGATCCAGTGTTTTACTGCAGTAAACACACATCACCTTTACATTAGATCCAGTGTTTTCCGGCAGTAAACACACATCACCTTTACATCAGATCCAGTGTTTTGCTACAGTAAACACACATCACTTTTACATCAGATCCAGTGTTTTACTGCAGTAAACACACATCACCTTTACATTAGATCCAGTGTTTTCCGGCAGTAAACACACATCACCTTTACATCAGATCCAGTGTTTTGCTACAGTAAACACACATCACTTTTACATCAGATCCAGTGTTTTACTGTAGTAAACACACATCACTTTTACATCAGATCCAGTGTTTTACTGTAGTAAACACACATCACCTTTACATCAGATCCAGTGTTTTACTGTAGTAAACACACATCACCTTTACATCAGATCCAGTGTTTTACTGTAGTAAACACACATCACCTTTACATTAGATCCAGTGTTTTACTGTAGTAAACACACATCACCTTTACATCAGATCCAGTGTTTTACTGTAGTAAACACACATCACCTTTACATCAGATCCAGTGTTTTACTGTAGTAAACACACATCACCTTTACATTAGATCCAGTGTTTTACTGTAGTAAACACACATCACCTTTACATCAGATCCAGTGTTTTACTGTAGTAAACACACATCACCTTTACATCAGATCCAGTGTTTTACTGTAGTAAACACACATCACCTTTACATCAGATCCAGTGTTTTACTGCAGTAAACACACATCACCTTTACATCAGATCCAGTGTTTTACTGTAGTAAACACACATCACCTTTACATCAGATCCAGTGTTTTACTGTAGTAAACACACATCACCTTTACATCAGATCCAGTGTTTTACTGTAGTAAACACACATCACCTTTACATCAGATCCAGTGTTTTACTGTAGTAAACACACATCACCTTTACATCAGATCCAGTGTTTTACTGCAGTAAACACACATCACCTTTACATCAGATCCAGTGTTTTACTGTAGTAAACACACATCACCTTTACATCAGATCCAGTGTTTTACTGCAGTAAACACACATCACCTTTACATCAGATCCAGTGTTTTACTGTAGTAAACACACATCACCTTTACATCAGATCCAGTGTTTTACTGCAGTAAACACACATCACCTTTACATCAGATCCAGTGTTTTACTGTAGTAAACACACATCACCTTTACATCAGATCCAGTGTTTTACTGTAGTAAACACACATCACCTTTACATCAGATGCAGTGTTTTACTGTATAGGAAAAACAATACAGCTCATTACCTCCAAGTCTTATGCTTTTCCACAGCATTTAGCGATTCTTTTAGTCAATTTATTCACCGCTTTTTTACCGAGCCAATTGTGTTCGCCTCAACAGCCCTCTAGCTCCCGATACAAAGCACATATTTACATTTAGTCACACGTTTTAACTAAAGCAAAGCCTGAAGCCCATAAAGTTTAATGGACCCTATTCCTGAGGGGGAAACGCATGGAGAGACAGGAAGAGATAAGACACAGTTTAAAGGAGAGTTGTCTTTCCAAACCCGTGCTGTTTTTTTTTTCTTCCTTTTGTTTGTCAGTGGATACAAAAGCGGAAATTTGAAGGAAACTAGTTTTCACAGCAGATCATTGTGATTGAACACCTCTGTCCTGATCCAACAAGGAAAATCAACGCAAATTAGATGTTAGTGTGTCACTGGGAGAAATATTATCATTCATTCATTGTCCTTCAGCTTAGTCTCTGTTTCAGAGGTCGCCACAGTGGAATGAACCGCCAACTATTCCAGCATATGTTTTAATTTTTCAATTTAGTTGATTCGCCTGCAGCGCATGTGTTTGGACTGTGTGGGAACCCGGAGCACCCAGAGGAAACACACAACAACACGGAGAACATGCAAACTCCACACAGAAAAGCCTAGCCGGGACTTGACCTAACCACTGAGCCACCATGTTGCCTTTTATAAGATCTAAGCATACACACACACTGATCGTCCAAAGAGAGTCTGTTTTACATCACAACATTACTTTCATCACACTAAAACAGCTTCAGTGTGGACGAATGCATACTTGACTGAATGTCTGCGAGTGTATGTGAGCTGTAGAATTGTGTGTGAAGGACGAGCAATGTGTGTGTGTGTGTGTGTGTGCAGGTTAATTGCTGACAGCTGCTGGTGTCCAGTAAAGGTCATTGTGCAGTCGCTCACGAGGGCCTGTCACCGCACTGTCCGCACACACTCAACACGCATATGCTAATGAGCTTAATTAACGGCGAGTGTCAGAGTGCTGTTTGTCTTCTGTCACAAAAGCCACGTCCCATGAGGGCTTACAGAAAAGGACAATGTTTAATCATTAAAGCCAAGCCAAACGGCCCGATCGGTATCTGCATGAGAGCCGTTCGCAGACACTGTACCATTCCTCAACAGAAGCAAACATCTGAAAACGCAAAGGATCGTGGTTCTTCACAGATTTCGCTATTTCAGTGCTGTTTTCAAGCGATCTTTCATGCTTGCTTTTTGTTTTCAAATATCTGTTAATTAGCAGCTTTACACATTTTGTTATTGGTGTTTTTATTTTGGATTTTCACCATTTATTTATGCTTTTGAATTGCATTTAGAGAGCCAACTAGTTTTAACTGTGAAGGGTATCAAAAGTGTGTTGTATATTAAGCTATTAAAACCTTGTAAAAAAAAAATTGGCAATACATTTTCAGTTTACGGGCGAGGCAGTGGCGCAGTAGGTAGTGCTGTCGCCTCACAGCAAGAAGGTCGCTGGGTCGCTGGTTCCAACCTTGCCTCAGTTGGCGTTTCTGTGTGGAGTTTGCATGTTCTCCCTGCCTTCGCGTTGGTTTCCTCCGGGTGCTCCGGTTTCCCCCACAGTCCAAAGACATGCGGTACAGGAGAATTGGGTAGGCTAAATTGTCCGTAGTGTATGAGTGTGTGTGTGAATGTGTGTGTGGATGTTTCCCAGAGATGGGTTGCGGCTGGAAGGGCATCCGCTGCGTAAAAACTTGCTGGATAAGTTGGCGGTTCATTCCGCTGTAGCGACCCTGGATTAATAAAGGGACTAAGCCGACAAGAAAATGAATGAATTTTCTGTTTACACTAACCGGCCACTTTATTAGGTACACCTGTCCAACTGCTCGTTAACACAAATTTCTAATCACCAATCACATGGCAGCAACTCAATGCATTTAGGCATGTAGACATGGTCAACACGACTGCAGTTCAAACTGAGCATCAGAATGGGGAAGAAAGGGGATTTTGAACGTGGCATGGTTGTTGATGCCAGATGGGACCTGCGGGACTCTGGACTATGCAGGCTCACACACACACAAACATATCTACAGATAAACATTCACCAACGATCCCCATCCAAACGCCTTCGTGTGCTTTTACCCACGTGGGGCGTGGGCGGGACTGTGACTTGCGCCGGAAATGGCTGCTGGACCAGTTGGCTGCCCGCACTCAACGGACTGTTTTCCATTACCCCTGTTCCCATCCCCTCTGTCTATGTTGTGTCTTGCCGGTGTGCTAATGCTAAGATAGGGCTGTTTTTCTCTCTTTTCTCACTTTGTCCTAATCAAGGGCAAGCTGAGGGGGTGTTTTTTAGCCTAACTGTCCAAATGTATCTTTCTTCGTTTCTAAATGCTACCTCCTAAGATCTGTCTCCCCTGAAAAGTTGTTTGTGATGTTTTGTGTATTGTCTGGGGGGTCCAATTTTGCTATACGAAAGTGTAGTGACAAATAAAGGCTTGATTGATTGATTGATTGATTGATTGATTGATTGATTGATTGATTGATTGATTGATTGATTGATTGATTGATTGATTGATTGATGGGCTGGTCTGAGTATTTCAGAAACTGCTGATCTACTGGGATTTTCACGCACAACAATCTTTAGGGTTTACAGAGAATGGTCCGAAAAACAAAAAATATCCAGTGAGCGGCAGTTCTGTGGACGCAAATGCCTTGTTAATGCCAGAGATCAGAGGAGAATGGCCAGACTGGTTCCAGCTGACAGGAAGGCAACAGTAACTCAAATAAGCACTCGATACAACCGAGGTCTGCAGAAGAGCATCTCTGAACACACAACACGTCCAACCTTGAGGCAGATGGGCTACAGCAGCAGAAGACAACACCGGGTGCCGCTCCTGTCAGCTAAGAACAGGAAACTGAGGCTACAATTCACACAGGCTCACCAAAACTGGACAATAGAGGATTGGAGAAACGTTGCCTGCTCTGATGAGTCTCCATTTCTGCTGCGGCATTCAGATGGTCGGGTCAGAATTTGGCGTCAACAACATGAAAGCATGAATCCAACTTGTCTTGTGGCAACGATTCAGGCTGGCGGTGGTGGAGTAATGGTGTGAACACAAAATAAGATATTTTGAAGAATGATGAAAACCCATACCCGTCGACTCCCAGTGTATTGGTTTTTCAAATATGCAAGTCAATGCTTACCGGTTTTCATCATTTTTCAAAATATCTTCCTTTGCAGTCAACAGAATTCATTTTAACCACTTGAGGGAAGCTAAAAATGATAAAATGTAAATTTCTGTGTGAACTAACCCTTTAACGTGTCTTAAATTAAATTCCCTAAATGTTCTTTCTTCTGATGAACACAAGAGAAGATATTTTGAAGAATGCTGGAAACCCATACACATCGACTCCCATAGGCTTTGTTTTCCAAATATGCTAGTCAAAGGTTACAGGTTTTTATCATTCTTCAAAATATCTTCTCTTGCATTTACCAGAATAAGATTTAAAACCACTTGAGGGAAACTAAATAGTGCGTGAAAATACATTTTGCAGCTGTCAATAAAGCTGCAAATGGATCCCCAGCCTTCTGAGTCTCATTACTGGTTACAGGTTTCCCTCA